GGGGGGGGGGGGGGGGGGGGGGGGGGGGGGGGGGGGGGGGGGGGGGAGAGGTGTGCAGGAGCACCAGCGGTACGATTGCGATCGAGGCGGCTGGCAGAGCGGCTGCGGTTGCTGATGGGGTGATTACGAGGCCAGGTCAGTGTACGGTTTTGCCTGGGAGTCTTGGCATGTTGGGCGTTGTTGGCGCTCGCGATTGAGGGCAGCTGGGGTTGCAGGCTGTTTCCTGTTGTTTGCTGTTAGTGTCGAGGTTTGGTCTGGTGATGTTGGTCGTGTTGCTCTGGCTGCTGCCGTTGTTGCAGCTGCGGCGTCTGCTGTCGTTTAATGCTCTAGTTGTCGGTGATTAACGTCGGTGCGGGTGTTATCATTGTTGCCTAGGTGTGGTAATGGCAGTTGTTGTGGTGTCGTTTGTTGTTGTTTTGGGCTGTGGTACCATGAAGACCCTACGTGAACTTCTCGAATTTATCTTCCGGTCTTTCAGTTGAAGAGAGTGACCCAGCCGTCCAGAGTAGACGGGAAAAGGGCGACACAAAGGTTGCTCGAGATGGTGTATCGATTCTGGTTTCCGATCTTACTATCCGAAGAGAGCGATCTAGCCGTCCAGAGTGGACGAGGAAGGGGCAATACAACGGGTGCTGCATGAAAACAAACAGACGTCGTTCTCCCAGATGGTTTTGGCCGCCTTGTCACATTCTCAGGGATGGCTGTCCTCGCCGCCCGTGGCGCCATGGCGAGACTTTTGCATCAATGCTGCCCCCCCCCCCCCCCCCCCCCCCCCCCCAGCTTTGGCCTTTTTTTTTATTGGAAGGCCTTCCCTGAAACAACGACGCGAAAGTGTACCTGGGACGTCCGGTGTATTTTCGCTTGTTTGTGGCGCTGAATCATGCCGTAGGGGTGCATCAGGTGCCGGAAATGGCTATGGTGGGAACACGTATAACTTGATGTATGCCTCTTCGTCTTGGAGTACTGTAGATACCATACCCCGTGGGCCGAATTTCAAACCTCGATTGTTCCACGACGAAGACGATGCCGAAATCACATGACTCATTTTCAGAAAGCTCTCGACGAGACAGTTCCAATGCCGCCACCATTTCCGGCGCCGCCACTTCTTCTGCTGTGGAGCAATCGAGCTTTGGAAATGGATCCAGCGGGTGTGACTACTATTCATCCTATGATCGATCGGCCTAGGGGATGTGTTATTTTACGTAATCTTGGGTATGGCAGGGCTGTGAAGACCAACGCGTCAGCTTGCTACGTGATGACTTCCGCACTACAGTACGTAGGCGTTCGTTGTACACGCGGAGACCTATTTTTTCCTTTGCCGTTTTGTTTGTGTTTTGGAGTGCCGCTCTATTTCTCACACACATGTTTTTGTGCGCGTCCCCCAAAATATGTTGCGGTACAGCAGTCTCTCAACAACTGCAGCTGCAGCGCGCAGTCACCAAGGCCCCCGTGCCGGTAGCGGCGGCCCCGACCCCGGCCCAGGCCGCCGCCTACGCGAAAGCGGTGGCGACGGCGCAGCAGCAGCAGCGGGCCCACGCCGCCGCGACAGCGGCGGCGGCGGCGGCGAGGGTAGCGAGATCGAACGCGATCACCACTTCGTACACAAGCAACGCCGCCGCAGCAGCAGCGGCAGCGGCGGCGGCAGCAGCCGCGGCCGCCCCCTCGACTGCC